ATATATATATATATATATAAAAAATTGTTTTTCAGGAAGTTGTTGATCCTCAATTAGTAATGTTGAAGTTGAATCTGGACGATCAGTTAGATAACATTCAATATACATGACTGCCATAAAATTTTGATATAACATTTGATTATATGTGTTACTTTTCGTATCTGTGTGTGAAAACTGTCTGTTTAATATATTATATATTCTAAGCAATAGACAATAAATGCACGTGTTAATATATTTATTACATAATAGTTGAACTGCTATCTGTTGATTCATTATTGATGTTATTTGAATCTATATTTCCATCTGAAAATAATAATCTTTAGTTGCTATTCAGATTACTATATTTCAAATTGATTTTTTTTTTATCATTATATATAATACCTAAAGCTATATATTATTTTAATCTTTAATAAAGAACAAATATCTAATTACTACTAATATTTCTATTAAGTGTTGACTATAAACAAGAGATTACCTTCAATATTATTACTACTATTTAAGAGATGTTGGAGCACTACTACATTTTCCTTCAATGTTTCCAGTTGGGCAATACTGCACTTTGTTTGATATAACTTGTTTTCTACAACTTCTATGCACATTGTCTAAAAGATAAATTAGAAAGTGTTAATACTTAAAAAGATACTTTATCTTCAGTGCCTATGAATAATGTCTATTTTACCACATCTTGAATTAATTTTGAAGGATCCACATTATTTTCTTTAACGTTAGCGAGTGCTTTGTGAATATCTCCTATATTATTCAAGAATTCAATTGCATCAGTAAACATTGTTGTCATATCTCTGAAACAGAGTATTAAAGTTTGCCAGTGTATACATATATAGAATTTTTTTATTATAAAAAAATATAAGATTCATATATACTGTGCGTAATCGTGTGATACAGGTAAGCCTGAAATATTGCTTGTAGAATGTACTATTTTATGTACAGAGTGTTTGTGTGATGTTATCATATTGAGATGTTTTGTGATGTTCTCCTTGCATTGTTCTGTTTCCCCTATGAACAATAGATTTATGCCTTGTATAACTGCAAAGTTTTCAATAACAAAACAATTCATTTCAATTAAAAATACTCTAGAATAGCTTACTTCTCAAGTCTCGCAATTCCTTCATTAACTCTTTATGTTCACTAGGCTCTTCGTCGAGATGTTCTAATTCACGCTGATTAGCCAATCTTTTTTGTTGTATAACTTTTATAAAACGTTCTATATCATCCATATTATAGGTCACACGCTAAAACAAAACGCAAAACAAATTCCAAAATATTTCTATCATAATAATCACTTTTCAAATATATATCTCAAAAGAGATCATTTGATTTCATTTTGAAGAATTTTTCAAACAAACTTATGTAAAGTAATCACTATAGAATTTGAATTTTTTAGAATGAATTGTAGATTGTACAAAGCACAGAGAATGTTTAGGATAAAAAAAACTTGTATATATTCAATTTAACTTCAATCCATCTATTCACTAAATGTTACACTTTCAAACAACTGATTCAACTGACGTCACAGTAAGCACAGTATATACAGTAATGCAACTCTCTTGATTTTATGTTAGCCAAAATGGAGTGCACATGTGTGAAATAAGTAAGTTGCCCCGTCTCATTTCCTTCTTTTTTTATTGCTCTCTCTCTCTCTCTCTCTCTCTTTCTCTCTATTTAAATGAGCGTTTCAATGTTCCCCTTAGAGCCAGTTGTTCCATCTTTTGATAAATTTTACCTGTGAAGTAAATCTAGTAATCCACGCATGTGATTGGGTAATCTTGTTACTTACTCAAAGGTAAAATTTACCAAAAGATAGAACAACTGACTCTTAAACATTTGTCTTTCAAGCATACATGGTTCAGAATAGAAATTTAGAAGAAAGTATTATGTGTATTTTGTCCATTTGAAGAAATGTTGTGTGAGAAACCTCAAGAGATTGAACATATAATATTCTC